GGTATAGTACTATGCGAAGGGTTGGAGCATAGTCGCTTACTTTTTGGTAAGCTCGTGGGTACCAGCTTCTGCTGCAGTCCTGCGATAGGACCGAAGGTAAGTGTACTTTTTTTGTTATTTTTTAGTTTTTTTTTTATTATTTTTTATGATTTTTTTTATTTCTTTATTATTTTCAGCTTTGGGTATTTTTATTGGAGCAGCATGATGTTATGCACGGGTGGGAGCATAGCGTGCTTACTTTGTAAGCCTGTGAGTACCAGCTTTTGCTGTAGTCTCACAGTAGGGCTGGTTGGTTGTGGTACGGCATGGTGCTATGCGTAATTTTCATGGGAGGAGCATAGTACGCTTCTTAGGAAGTCCCTTGTGGTAGGGCCGTAATATAACATTTTTTTTCATTAATTTTATTTTATATTTAAGTACAGTTTGAACACATGGATAATTTTAAGATCGAAGTTATCACTTAGGAATATTGTTGTGAATCTTGAGTCCTTGGTTGGAGAGATATGAGCAGTTCTGGCAAGACATCCAGAAGATCTATACCACATTTAAAAGAGTTGTGTCACTATTCTCAAATGAATTCAAATAGAATAGATAGAAACCAATCATCATTAACATTAACATTCACATTACAATTAATCCAAACAATGTGTAGTTTTATTTTCATTCTTTAAAAAAAAATATTACATTACATTTTATTATAGTAATACTTTGAAATATTGTAAATTTGTTAGTGTTTAATATTTAACATTTGTAGTACAAATAAATTTTTTTTTTTTTGAAATTATTTTTACAAGAATAAGATAAAAAATGACAAGTCAGTTTGCCACTGTATCCTTGCCGTTTTGCCGTAATTGCCGATCATTTAGATCTTACTTAATAACTAGTTACGAGAGTTTTAATCTTGTAAACTCTCTATTAAACTGTTCTATTAAACTGGATATTTAGGTTACTGTTAAATTTAGCGAATCTTGATTAGCAATTTTATATATTAATGGGTTTTATTTCTAAAAAAAATCATTCAAGTTTTCCAAAATATTCACTCGAATCTTCGCATAAATGTGTCAACCCATACTAGAACATCGCTTGACTGATCTATTATCATATTATCCCTAACATTCTTTTCACCTTCTATACAACATTCCAGTAATCTACTATTATTTTAATTACTATATTATTTAAGCTTTATTATACTCTTGTCGGCATTAATGTCTTTTTCTTTACGGTACATAATTCTTCTTTACAAGCTATCTGAAGGTATATTCTCGAATATTGTTATCACATCCTTGGCATTTCATTAAACACAGTGAATCAAACTATTGATAGACAAGAATCAACAAATAATGGATTCCAATAGCGGTAAAATTTTTACTTTTTGATTTCTATTCATTTTTTGATTTCTATTCATATTTCACAAAAATTACATTACCATTTTCGTTTCATGCTACCATCGTATTTTTCACCTTTCCCAAATCTTTATTTGATGCATCATCAAATTCCTTAAGTTCTGATCGATTAAATATATATCGATCTTTTAAAAATATGTTTTCTCATTTATATACATCAATTGTTTCAATCTGTTATACCACTTCGATTCACTCCTTTCATCGTTACTTTTGACTTGATACAAAAATTTTTGCAATTTCATTAACGTATTCTTATTGTGTTCAACAATTTGATCAAGAAATAAAAATTTTTTGATTCTTTAGTTGTACTTTCCACATCCCATATTCATTCCTATTAAATATATCAATCAATTTGAAATTGCCACCGTAAATTTTATGATTTTTTAATTAACATTTAATGTATTGTGATCACATATCGATATATCGTTATCCGACAATATTTTTAGAAATTGTTTATTGTACGTAATTTGTCTTTGATCACGTTAAGATATCTTTCTTTTATTCTAAACAGCTCGCTGTACAATAATCTACTTATATAGGTTTATTTTAAATAAATTCTTTAATTCTATGTCACCATTACTATGGTACATGGTATTTTTTGATAAACTTTCTAACTGTAATGCATAAAGATTCTTTGCATTTAAAATATCTTTATCAAATATTATCACATTTGGACAACTTATCGGTAATTTACAACTATGTTTTAATAATCTATTAACTTTTGCTATTATCTCACGACATTCTTTCTCTGATGTACCACTGCTTGTAGTTGAAATTCAATAGCAGGTATAAATACTTTATACCACGGTTCCTAATCATTCATCCATGGCTTTTTTTACTGATATTTTCACGGGCCCAACAATTATTATAATTTTTTTACTTACCTCAAGATCCGAACCCAATACCTTCTTATATCATATTTCACATTCTAACCACTACACTACTTGATCTTTTTTATAATTAATTAATTATTTAACTTATACTTAAATTTTTAATAATTATGCGTATAGTTAATTATTATAATAATAAAGTCTAATTAATTGATAATGTAAATTACTCTCACATAGTTCAATGTTATTATTGTTATACTCTCTTCAGATATGATTAAAATTTTATTTTAATTATATGAATTAAGCTTTATATTTAATATTGCATTAATTATTACATTATAATATTGAATTATTTTTGAATATTAAAAGTAACATTTGAAAAAGTACAATTGTGAAATATAGGTGATTCATTTAAAGAATTCAAAGATAAAGAAATTTCTTGAAGAGGAAGTTGTGAATTTGAATTATAATTATTAATTAAATTATTTTGTGAATTTTCTTGTATAAAGGTTGATGATTTATTATCAGTAATATTAATTAATGTATTTAAAGTATTAAGTTGTTGATTTTCATTAACTTTTTTATAAGCCCGAACACCTTGGACATTTTTATGACCAGTAAGTTGCATAATAGCTTGTTCTGGAACTTCTTGATCTTGTAGAATTTGAGTGGCAGTCTTACGTCCAGAATGATTGGAAAGTAATTCAATAGGAATATCAATTTGCGTTTCACGCCCAATTTTTTCATAAAGTTACCTAATTTATTTTTTCCTACATGATCTGTCTTGTACCAATATTGGTTTCCAACCAGGATGTGTTATTTGGCTGCAAATAAAAGTTTTCATCGCCTGAAGGTGGGCGTTTAGACAAGTATAATTGAATATCTGAACATGGACCATTATTATCAGCTGGTATTGAAATAATATGAGCTTGGCAGGACCCAGAAATATATATATAGGGGTCAGGTGATGAAAAAAATTTTTTACTATGAGCTGTACGCATTTTTTCAGGGCCGGAATTATGATAATGCCAGTCGGTTACTATAATAGGAAATAATATTCTGACTGGCATTATCAAAAATTATCTAAAAAAGGAAAGATTTTCATGACTTTTTTAGTTCAAAATACGCAAACTCAAACCTGACCCTTTTATATATATTTCTGGGTCCTAGCTTGGCCACCTTGAATCCCACGTTGATTGTTTTTAGTTATTCCACGGGTAGCCGTGAATATCAATGATTTTCACAGCGCAGCCGTGAAAATTAATTGATATTTATGGCTATCCCATGGAATAACTGTTTTATATCACGGGGACTAACATCTGTGGCTTAGACTATTATTAATAAACTATTAAACCTTGTTACTGATTAAAAAAAATTTTTTTTCTCCTTTTTTTCTTATCATATTTTTTTAACTCCTTTTTTTTCTTATCGTATTTCTGAAAATTTTTTCTCCTTTTTTCTTACCATATTTTTTTATTTTTTTTATCAAATTATGAGTAAAAAACGCGAAAAAAACACGTCTCATTTCCCAAGTTTTCAAACAGCAACAAATTTACTTAGTTCATCAGATAACCCTATTAACAATTCTAATAATATTGACAATATTCAAGATGCCGCACAAATTAAAGCTTCTTACTATCGTGAGAAGGCAAAAGTCAAAAATACTGAAAAATCTACTAAAAGTTGGTCCACAAAGTTTGAAGAATTTCGTGCTTGTGCTGGTTATTCAGTTCCTTTAACTGATCTTAAAAATATTTCTCAGCTTCAAAAACAAATTGTAGAATTTATCTCTACAATGAAAATGAAAAATGGTAATGAATATAAAGCAACATCAGTTAAGCAATCTGTTGACGCACTTAATAGATATCTCCTTCATCTTTCACCTATTCCACAAATAAATTTACATGACAAATACATGTTTCCTGATTTACATGATGTTTTACATGGAAAGTTTCGTGATCTTCAAGAACATGGCTTTGGTGAAACATTGGGTTCAGTTGCTATTAACTCTCAGCAAATTCAACAAATTTTACAACATCCTAAAATAACTACAGATAATCCTGAAGGCCTTTTGTATCGTGTTTTTTTTTGTCTATCAATAATACTTGCTATGCGAGGAGGAGAGCATTATCAACTTAAAATTAATCAATTTAAATCTGATGAAAATGGTGTGTTGAAATTTTTTCGCTATATATCTATTACATATTCCATATCATTATCAAAATTTTATCTGTCTGCAAAAACTACCATCTGATGAATTTTCCTAATATATAAATTACGATCATTTTTATATGAAAATAAATTCCCAAAACTGGCTTCCTTCTTACTATTAACTTTTTCTATCTTATTATTTCCTATTATCATATCATTAATATTTTGTATTTTTGACGTCCGTCCTTAATATTGTATATCTTATAAAAAACTAGTATATTTCTAGCATTTTCTGAACACTTGATTTATTTTCCCAAGTAATGTCATATCATCCATAAATTGCCACCGTATTATACATTATGTTTTTTACATTTTCCTTTTTGTTGATATTATTGAATTTATAATATTCTAGTGAGTAATCAGTACCTTCTTACATTTGACAAAAGTGTATTCGCTACAAAATAGAAGACTAAGCTTCCCCTTGATCAATCCCATCTTCTACATAATAACTGCTTATTGATACTCCATTAATTAAATTTGATCGATTGTGGCTGCTGTCTGTTATATCTATTACTAAATTAATAAATAAAGTTGGAAAGATTCTAGGAAATAACTGCTCACCGAATCGTAAGCTTTACTTATATCCATTAAAATGATTCATGCTTATCGGATTGCGTGTTTAATTATCGTTATATTTTATGTAATCTTAATCATTCCAAAAGTACTTTCATTTTTTAGCGCAGCAAAATTTCATTCTTTCAAAACTCTATTTTCACTAAGTTGATTCATTAAAAATTTTTATCATCAACTTATGTAACTTCAATTAATGTAATCGGACGAGTTAATGATAAGCACAATTCCAATCTTCACGCTTTTTAATCATGTAAAATATCTTTCCGCTCATATTTTCTTGAATTTTCTTAGCTCATTCTTCTCTCTTTTGATTAAGTTTCTTTTCAACCTCTTGTTGTTTGTATATCATAAATATATCCATGAACTTTGACCAACCTATATCAATCTCCGTATAATTCATATCTTTTTCAATTATGTCTTCCTCAACTTTTATTCGTATTTACTATTATATTTTCCTGTAATTGTAACTCTATCATTAACGCCTTATGATCCTCTTAATAATAGTTTTTACATTTTTAATACTTATCAAACAATTTGATTTAATAACTATTTGTTAACAAAACTTAATCTATACGTGACCTTGTGTTACCATTACTTGACTTTTAACAGATTATCTAAGATAATATAGCTTACAGAAATAATTATGTAATTATAACGCAAACACCTTTCATAAGCTCAATCAATCAGAATTTGAGGATAATACAATATATATAGCATATCTGTGTTGAATTTTAAAAATCTCAAGCCTTTCTTATTTATTTGCTGGCAATATATAAAAAATGGCTTATCTTCATATTCTTCCGCTCTATTACAACTACCATTCAGCAGGTCTTCAGACTTCTGAACTTGAAAGAAAAAATAGAAAGTGGTGATAATATGGTACCTCCCCTTTTCATTTGGATTACTTTTTTATGATTTCTTTTTTTTTTAATCTATTTCATTTAGCCATAGACTTTTATAAATCAGAAACTGGACAACTAATAGTTATTATGAAATTATATGATAGCTATTCAAGAATATCCTGAGTCAGCTGCACATTTTTTCAGAAGGTTAAATCCATATGATGTATGAAAAAATATTGGAAACCTTTTGGATTGTGTATGTACTAATTTTAACTAATCTATTAATAATTCATTATATTTGCTTTTATAGGCAGCTGATTCCTTACTTTCCAACTGGATATTTCCCAAAGGGTATGACTAAAAAATCACTGCTTTATGTATATACTGAATTTATTACTCCATGCATTTTTCTTTTAGGTTGCCAAATATTTTTAGAAAGCATAGATTAACTCCTTATGTTATGGTTTAAATCTATCCTTTTATTTAATAGAGCAGAATTGTCCAGTTTCTGATGACTTTTTTTTCATTTTTTATTTTTGTCTATTATTTGTTTGACACCTGGCTTATGATTGGGACAGCATCCAGGAAATATTTAGTTAATTAATGTTAAGGAATGTATTATTTATTATTGTATTTCGAAGGATATTAGGGGTTGGACAATTCAAATTTGATTTTTGGAAGTGACAGAGTATGGCGAGCGTAGGGGCCATATTGTTTTGGAATGTAAAATTTTAATTAATAAATACAGATAATTTAGTATTCCTCATATACTAATAATTATATAATCAATTACGGATTTTTTTGAAAAAAAGAAATTGTTTATTACATAAAAAAATTTGACAATTTGGTAATCGCATACAAATTACATTCGAAGTAATACCAAAAAATAATAATAAATAATCAAAACTATTATAAAATAATAATGGACAACTAAACTCTGACTAAACTGGGTTATTTGCAGCCATAATGATAATCACATAATGCTTTCACAATTTGACCAACCATTTTATTTTTTATATGTAAATTAAAAATTAAAGAAATCATTGAGTGATAAAGAAATTGGCAAAATTTAAAACAAAAGTTTCTAAATCTACGCAGTGTAACACATATTAATAAGTGAAAATTCTGAAGTTAAAAATCATTTATTAAATAAATAAATAATATTTAGACTTAATATATTATGCTATATATTAATTTCTAACAAAACTTTTTAATGTTGATAAATATTACTAAGATGTTATTCATCCATAATTACTGTATTCCTATGAGAATCACTTCTAAAATCCTTGATTACTCCATTATTTTTATATTTATTAATTAATTCTTCATAATAATCATCATCTTCATAAATATAATTGGATATAATTATTGAAAGAGCATTACCTTTCCATTTTTTCAAGAATTCCTCTAAGGCTTGTAAAGAAAATTTAAAATCACCACAAAATCTAATTTCTTTAATATTATTTAGTGTTGAACTAATTAATATTTTTAATAATATTTCTCCATATTCTAAAATTTTTTGCTCATAAGTTGAATCTTCATATGTATAATCAACTATAATCAATAATAATGACTTCAAATTTTGACAAATTTTTAGTAATTTTTCAATTTCTGCAAAATGTTCATTTGATGGTGAAAATATAAGAGATAAATATTCAATTGAAGGACAATTTCTATGAATACTACGTATAAAAATAAGAGAATTTTCAACGAAACCATCTATATACCCTAGTAATCCATATGGTTCCAACGAGATTCTCTTTAGGTGTCCCCCACTATTTTCAATTATAATAGAAGCTGCTTTCAAATTGTGATGATCTATTTTAAAGACCTCAAGATCATGGTATACACACTTCTTTAATTGTTCTTCAGTAAAATTAGAAAAACTAGTTTTCAATGTTTTTAGTTTATGAAATTTTGGGACTACCTTTTGTAATGTGCGACTAATAAAAATAAAGAAAATATTTAAATGAATAATATTATTTGCATTTTTTTCTAATGCAAAAAGAATCTCTTTATAAGAATCTTGATCTGCTCTAGGTATATATGTTGTATCATAATCATCTCTCCACTCAAAATACTTTAAATTTTTCTGAACTCTAATTAATTCAGCAATCCCATGATAATCATTTGGGTCTGAATTAACAACGATGAGCCTTTGTATATATTGACATAATTGTACCAATCCATAAAAATAAGAAGAATCTGTTGATGTGTCACATCTTAATTCACAAAGTGATTCAAGACGAATCCTAGCTTCTGGAAAATAAAATATTTGATGTCTAATTGATTTCATATCCAAATACTTTAACTCTGGAAATTTCTTCATAAAGAGTCCATAAAATTCTTGTTGCAAAAGAAATTGATTATAAGTTAAAGAGGATCCAATAGAAATTATAATGTTTATAATATTTATATTAATACTTCTACAAAAAGATAAATAATCGAATAAAAGTGATTGGAATGAAACTAAGGGTAAAGGAATTCCTCGTCTCGTTAGGAATTCCTTAATATCATCAGATAAATAAGAAGCAATGATTTTAAATAAATAATTTTTATTACTATAATTAATATTATAGCACCAAGGATTCCTCCATAAAATTGGAATGACAGTTTCACACCAAAGTCTATTTACCATTAAACATGAAAAGAGAGATTTTGAATCATCTTGTACTAATTCTTCAGATACTAAAAAAAGAATATCTTTGTTAAGTTTTGACATTCTTTAACAAAATAATCTTTAATCACTGGTTTATTATAGTAAATATCCTTGAATATAATTTTTCGTAATATTGAAATTTTTCGTAATATTGAAAAATTTTTAAAAAAGTTTTAACCATGAATAATGAAATACCGAAATAATATTCACAAGTAACGTGTCACAAGTAATAAATATTGCATCATTATTTGATTTTGGCAAAATTCCGAATTTATCCTAGTTCTTTGATCAACTTGCTGTACATCATTGATATGCATACTGTATTACATGACACTGCTGTTAATTTATTTATATTGGCAATTTATTAATGTTAGGAACCATATGTACGAACAAATTATGCAAAAAAAATAAAAGAAAATTATAAAATATGAGAGATAGTCTTAACTTTGGTTATAACCGATCATAACCGGTTTTTATCAGTTCGGTTATCAAGTTTGGTTATCAGTCCAAGACCGACTGGCTTTTTCATTTCAACTTTCAGTTGACAGATATTATGATATTTGACCGAAATAATATAATAATATTTTAGACAAGGTATTCCTGAAATAACTTTACCACAAAAAGAAGATATTGATGATTTTATTGATGAAGAAAAAACAATAATTGTGTTATGAGTTATGACTCTGGTTGAACACTGTGAAAATTGGTGATTTAAGAAGAAAAAATTCATTGATTTACTTAAAAAATCTAGTTAAAAAGGCCGTAGTTTTTAATTACAATACCAGAGATTCAGAAAGAATGAAAATTTTGGATATAATGACAAAAAATTTAGCTGTGCCATCTAGAGATGGCCAAAACTTCGCTAATAATTTAAAATTATAAAAAATTCGGTTTGATATAATGTTTTTATTAATTGTTTTATTACAAAAATATAAATTTTTATTATTTGCGTTTTTATCAGTTATTTCTATTACAATGTATTATTATAATGAAAATTGCTATTGCAATAATTAAATAAAATATGATTTATCTAGTATCAAATAATAAGCTTCGTTGAATATTATCTAATACATTGATAAAACATCTTTAATTAATTTTTTGTCTAATATCCTACTTTAGCCACTAATTTATTAATACTTTTATTGCAGTTTAAAGCTATTTTAATACTATTTATTGACGATAAGTCGGCAAAATTTTACGAATTGTAAAAATTTCGTCAAGATAACATGCTGTCACGTGATCAATATGAATTTTGATTAATTTCATGATGGTTAGGTTGCAAATCATCAAGTTTCTGCAAAGTAGTGATTAATAAGACGTTATTTATATCTCTATATCTATTATATTCCTATGAAAATCCCATATAAAATCTTTTATTACTCCATTATTTTTATATTTATTAATCAATTCTTCATAATCTTCTTCAATATAATTAGATGTTATTATTGAAAGCGCATTACCTTCCCATTTTTTTAAGAATTCCTCTAAGGCTTGTAAAGAAAATTTAAAATCACCACAAAATCTAATTTCTTTCATATTATTTAGTGTTGAACTAATTAATATTTTTAATAATATTTCCCCATATTCTAAAACTTTTTGCTCATAAGTTGAATCTTCACATGCATAATCAATTATAATTAATAATAATGACTTCAAATTTTGACAAATTTTTAGTAATTTTTCAATTTCTGCAAAATGTTCATTTGATGGTGAAAATATAAGAGATAAATATTCAATTGAAGGACAATTTCTATGAATACTACGTATAAAAATAAGAGAATTTTCAACGAAACCATCTATATACCCTAGTAATCCATATGGTTCCAACGAGATTCTCTTTAGGTGTCCCCCACTATTTTCAATTATAATAGAAGCTGCTTTCAAATTGTGATGATCTATTTTAAAGACCTCAAGATCATGGTATACACACTTCTTTAATTGTTCTTCAGTAAAATTAGAAAAACTAGTTTTCAATGTTTTTAGTTTATGAAATTTTGGGACTACCTTTTGTAATGTGCGACTAATAAAAATAAAGAAAATATTTAAATGAATAATATTATTTGCATTTTTTTCTAATGCAAAAAGAATCTCTTTATAAGAATCTTGATCTGCTCTAGGTATATATGTTGTATCATAATCATCTCTCCACTCAAAATACTTTAAATTTTTCTGAACTCTAATTAATTCAGCAATCCCATGATAATCATTTGGGTCTGAATTAACAACGATGAGCCTTTGTATATATTGACATAATTGTACCAATCCATAAAAATATGAAGAATCAATTGATGTGTTACATTTTAATTCACAAAGTGATTCAAGACGAAACCTAGCTTCTGGAAAATAAAATATTTGATGTCTAATTGATTTCATATCCAAATACTTTAACTCTGGAAATTTCTTCATAAAGAGTCCATAAAATTCTTGTTGCAAAAGAAATTGATTATAAGTTAAAGAAGATCCAATAGAAGTTATAATCATGTTTATAATATTTATATTAATACTTCTACAAAAAGATAAATAATCGAATAAAAGTGAATAGTGTGAAAATGATGGTAATTGAATTCCTCGTCTCGTTAGGAATTCCTTAATATCATCAGATAAATAAGAAGCAATGATTTTAAATAAATAATTTTTATTACTATAATTAATATCATAGCACCAAGGATTCCTCCATAAAATTGGAATCACAGTTTCACACCAAAGTCTATTCACCATTAAACATGAAAAGAGAAATTTTGGATCATCTTGAAATTCTTCGAATATTAAAAAAAGAATATCTTTATTGAGTTTTGACATTTTCGTAATATTGAAATAGAAAAATTTTTAAAAAAGTTTAACAAGAGAATGAAAATACCGGAATAAAATTCACAAGTAACGTCTTACAATAAATAAATATTACGTCAAATATTTGATTTGTCAAATTTTGTAACTTACCGAATTTATCCTAGTTCTTTGATCACTTATATCATGTGATAATTGTGATACACAATGTATCACATGACACCGCGGTAACGAAAGATAATTATTCTATTAACAAATTTATAATGTACTTGCAATCTATTAATATTAGGAACCATGTTAGAAATATGCATATAATATATTATGTACAGTAGATTGTACAAGATTATACATAAAAATAAATATAGTTTTAACGCGAAGTACATGTATTGATATTAAAAAATGATGTATGATTAATCAACTTTATAAATAGAATTTGACATAGAGATTGTGTAGACATTCAAAAATTTAATTCATTACTTTTAGTTTTATTTAATTAAGTTGAATTGATTTAATTTTTTTTTTTTTTAGACCGTAAAATCTAGTTTGTTGACTTGAACCAGACTGAGGAGCTTGTGTTGGCCAAAAAAAATTTAAATGATTTTTGAGACTGACTTATTAAAGTAGTATTGTTAAATGGGATGCTTACAGGATCCAAGCAATACTGAAAGTGGTAATAATCGAGTTTGCGTAGAATGGGACAAAATAATTTGTAGATCTTTTCTTTTTTTTTTTTGATAATGTTTTACGACTTCCTAAAATCATCTACTAGCGTTATGCCGTCTCTACTAGAATTAAGATGCTTAGATCTAATAGTAAATGTGCGCCGATCACTTGTTGTTACTTTGCTCATGCTTACTACATCCTGAGGAACATGTAACTTTGAATACTTGACCATTTTGAAATTAATAATAATCAAATATTTTTGATGTATTTTAAAGACGAAGAAAGAATGATGCAAGACTGTCAGAAGTCTTGCTGCGGATTCTTTATTTATCTTATTGAATAAAGTCGAAAATTATAATAAGAACAAGGAAGATTGGGACGAAAATGTTAAGGGTTTAAAAACGAAAAAGAATGATGGAAAGTATTTTTTTTTTAATTTATTTTTGGTATAATTTATTTAGCGCAAGTTTTCAACGTGAACCTTCCAGAGATTATGAATTTTGATCAAAGTATAAAATTATTAATAAAAGTTTTTACTTTTCTAAATTATGTCTATCATGATGGAATTCAAAGCAACGAAATCAAGTAAAAAAATATTTTGGTTTAATTTACTAATTACAATATTCGTTCATATTGGGTAACATCCAGTTTGTTTATTGGTAAACTTTCTAACTTCATTATTTAGATACCTTAAAGTAAAAAAGAGAATTTTATAAGGAACTATCTAGATAATCATTATTTCTAAATTTGGTCATTAATCAATTAACATTATTTATCAATTTAAAGATGATGTACAAAGATTAAAGAACTTACTTGGACAATATTGAGAATTTAAAAATTCCAAATTTTGATTGATGGTAAACAAAAAAAGTAAAAATTATTTTGTCAATATATTTATTTAATGTAGCTTTTCATTTTTTGTTGAATTATTTCTTTTTCATCATCTAAATTTTTTAAATTGAAGACAAAATATTGATGATGATATTGATGGTATGCGAATTTTTAATTTAATTTTATATTAACTGAAAATTCCTGACAGTAAGCTCTTAAAATAAAGTATAAAAATAAATTTCTTTATAAAGCAAATAATTAAGAAATAATTTGTTATTTTTTATCTTTAGATGAATTTTGAATAATCGTTTAACAATGTTTTTTTTTATATTTTAAATTATCATCATTTAATTATTTATTTATCATGGATTATTTAAACACTAAGAGTAGTAGAGTAGTAAATGTTTTACAAAATTCTTTGTTTGTAGTTTAAATAATTTTAAATGTATAAATAAGCAATAAAAATATTTACTACCGTATATTGATTTAGACAAAAATTAAGTATCTTTACCGACTTTACGTAAATTTAAAGAATAATCTCGCTTGTCATCTTTGACCTCATGAAAGTACGATAATAAAATATTGTGCAAACGTTTTATTTATTTATAATAAATAGGTTAGATTGTTATTTTAATTTTACATTAAACTATTGGAAACTTATAAAATAGTTAAGATCACAAATAAAATGAGGTTTACATTATTTTTAAGAAACTAATATTTTTATGATTTTTATGTAAAAAAATTTTGCTAATAATAAAAATTCGAAAATAAATACCTCTTTGGCTTTTAAAGTGTAAATAAACCATTGCTTTTAAAGTGTCAGTCCATAAACCGTTGCTTTTAAAGTCAGTCTATAAATTGTACATAACCATAACTATTGGTTTCATAATGTTCTCAAAATTGAGCTTTGATCATGAGATTAGTGCAACCTGACCAAAAAAGCCGATCGAACAATTATGAACTGGCCTAATGTCAACAAGAAAGGAATTATTGTGATCACAGTAATTGCTTCTATTCGATGTAATCAGATTATATGTTTTGTTACACTTACAGTATAATCGAAGTATAAAAATATAAAAGTTAAGAATGAAATTCAAAACATCATTAAAATAATTACGGTAGAAGCTTTATCCATAACTTTATTTAAAGGATTTTATAGTTTATAGTATAATTTACCTAAAATTTAGGATCAATTGTAATAAAATGAGTTTATAATACATAATAATTTTTATAATTTATTATGCACCTTTTTTTTTTATCATATCAAAAATCGATAATTTGCTAGTTACTCTTTTTCTATCATTTAGCTTGTTAGAAATTAATATATTATTTGTTTTCCAAAACGTAGTAATACTACTACTGTCTTACTAGTTACTAGTATAAAGAAAATGTTTATGTAAGTACATATATATTTTCTTATGTCATGATAATATAGCGCAAATAATAACTAGAGCAGTGAGCTTAATAAATAATTATTCGTTTTCTTCATTTTTTTTCTTTAGGTTCGGTCAGGGATCTGCATATGACACAGAAGTAACTCAATTTTTACCTTCTTTTTTTTTAGCAATAATTGATTACTAATCAGTTTATCCTTCAATTAATATTTTAAATTTTATTTTTTCAGAACATTAAATCTAGTTGTTAAAGCTTACTGTCATATTTTACAGTAATCTTTGAGCGTAACTACTTTTTAACGCTATTAAATTATTATATTTTTTGAATTTTAAGAAAATATTTAGATTGTCATTAAATACCAAAATTGTTTTAAAAATAAAATTTCATGTTATTAAGAAAATGATGTTAAAATAGATGGAAATTTTAATAATTTATTGTTTTGTCATAATAATAATAATTATTTTTTTATTTACAAGCAGATTGAAATATTTTTTTTATAATTATTAACTACTTTAATGATGAATTAGTATATTATAACTGAATTCCATTTGTTAATACGAATTTCCTTTATATAATAATGGTAAAATATTTCTTTTAGTTTTTTGTATAGAATTTAAAACAAACTAAAATAATTGGATAATACATTTTTTAATCTAACAATTTTAGCACGATTCTAATTATCATAATTTTTAATACACGTTGTTACTTATAATGATATTGATTGACTGTACTGCATTTTTCAAAATTTCAACAAAGTACCTATATACTGTAGTATAATTTTACTAACAAATAATATTTTGGTGTTGCAAAGTTTTTTTTTTTTTTTTGTGAAACAAGTATTTATAGTTAGGGATTTATAAAAAAGGAAATTTCTTACTTAAATGATGTGTGATTTCTGTGATCATCAGCTGACTTCTTGAACACTTTATTGTTTGACCGTTTGACCTAAATAAAAATAAAATTTTGTCAATCGCTGCTGTGCAACTGTAATACGTTTTAACGCCTTTTTTTTTTTTAAAAAAAAAAAAAAATCTTTTTTATTCTGTTTAAACATAAAATTGAAGTCACATTTATTAATCTAATATGGAAGAATTTATGATCAGTGATGATGTATTTGAGCAAATAAAAAATTTTGACCATGAGGACCTAACTGAAAAACAAAGTTTGTTAATTGATAAGTTAATATTAACTGAAGAATTAAAAATACGTTATAAAGAAAATGGTTTATGCAAGGAATGTAAGCAACCTAATACTGGTTATACTTGGTGTAATTCATGTAATGCTAAACATTTTCAACAAAATTTCAAAAATTGGACTAGTGGAAATCATGAAGTTGATAAGTTTATTCAAAAAACACAACTTAAAGCTAAACAATTTGAGGAAGTTTTAGAATGGATTGAATATGATAGATTTGAAAATATTGAATACTTGACAAAAGGAGGATTTGGAACTATTTATAAAGCAATTTGGAAAGATGGATGGATAAAAAGTTGGGATTTTGAGAATAATAAATGGACAAGACGTAAATTTTATTGTAAGGAATATGAGAATTTTCCAGTTATTTTAAAATGTTTACATAATTCTCAAGATATTACATCCGATTTTTTAAGAGAAGTAAGTTACTTATTTTTGTATATAATTTCAAGATATTGTCCTATTATAAATGTTAAACTATCTATTAATTATTATTATTATGAATTCTTTTTTAGATTGAAACACATATAATTTTGTCAGAACATATAGGTAATAATATAGCATGGTGTTATGGCATTACTAAAGACCCAGAATCTAGAAATTTTATGATAGTAATGGGATATGTACAAAATGGTAGTTTAAGACAACATTTAAATAATACTTTTAATTCAACAAAATGGAATCAAAAGTTGATGATTTTACGACAAATTGCACAAGGCCTTGATAATATTCATCAAAAAGGGTTAATTCATCGTGATTTTCATTGTGGTAATATATTAAAAGACACCCATTATACTTTAATTACTGATTTAGGATTATGTCGACCAGCAAATGTAAAATCATCTCAAAATGAATGTAAAGAACTATATGGAGTATTACCTTATGTAGCACCAGAAGTTTTAAGAGGAAAAGGATACACTCAAGAAAGCGATATTTATGGTTTTGGAATTATTGCATATGAAGTCTGTACAGGGCTTCCTCCTTATCATGATATTGCTCATGATAAATTCTTAGCTATTAGCATTTGTCAAGGACTTAGGCCAAAATCAAATTATAAAATTCCTCAATTAATTTTAAATATAATTAATCAATGTTGGGATGCTGATCCTTTAAAACGACCTAAAGCAAATGAATTATTTGATTTATTATTTAATTTATATGGCGTTGAACTCACTAGGCAAATTGAAGAAGCAGATAATATTAATGAAAAGTTGACATCATCATCATCATTATATATTGGACCTGCTCTTTCATATACTACAAATCCTCAAGCGGTTTACACGAGTAGGCTTTTAGATTTTAAAAATCTTCCAGAACCAAAAAATGCTATTGATAACAAGGATGATAATTCATTTGGAGAATATTCAGGTAATTAATTTCCTAATTTACTTTACAAAAGCATTCTTTAAATATTTTATTTGACGTATATAATTATTTTTTTTTTTTTATATTATAAAATCAATAGAAGCAATAGATTTTATTAAACTAGACCTAGGTACTTACTTATATATATTAACCTTTTGTATGATTTATTTTATTAATAATATCATTTAATAATTTATTTTTCACTTATAGATAAAAGCAGCTGAATAAAAGAAAGGAAGGGTGTATTTCTTTATTATTTATTATTTATTTTCTTTAACATACATTATTACAGATATGATATTTTATTGGAATGTATTTTTTATGATTAAATAAAGTATTATTATTTTATAAAATTATATGAAAAATAAATAGAATGAATTGTATGTAATATGTTATAAAATTGCAACAAAGTAAAAAAAATTACAAATTGTATTTTATGTTTAATCTTTGAATATTATAAAGTTATCCAACTCAAATGGAGGTCAAAAACCTAATTATGACCCGGTCCAGATTTTTAAGTTTGGTTAGATCATATTTAAATCAATCAACAAATCTTTTAGTGGAATAATGTTTATAAAATTTCTTAAACGAAAAGTTATATAAGATTTTGAACTATTATTTTTTTATGTCTTTATGTAAAAAATAACCTACTTTTAATATTCTTAACTTTATATGTAAAGAAAAAAAAAATATTATTAAAGATGAAAAAAACGGAATGAGATATCGATATATAATATATAGTATGTATAATGAATTATCAATAATAATTGCATTTATTTAAAATGAAAGAGGATGTAACATATATCCATATGTGGTAAATCGAGATACAACAAATCAGAAATTGCAAAATATCGTTATAAAATCTTAATCATTGGAAAATGATATAATGAAACATTTCGAGTATATTAACGTTAATTTCCATTGATTCTGTTAATAAAATAAATTATCAAATAAATTTATGGTTAAAAATCGAATTTTTCCAATTAGAAAACAACTTTTAAATACAACAGAATATTTATAAGTTCGAATTATATATTGGATAAAAAATAAAATATAATTATTTTCGCTTTAATAGTAAACATCTGAGTTAAATACATTAAATACATTGAAAGTATAGAAAGAATGGCATGTATGTAACTTTACATAATATTTATGAAATTGACTCATGCGATGGTTTCTCATTACACGTATAATTTACATCACGTATAGTTTGCCTTTTTTAACCATGTATTAATTTCAAAACTATAATAATACTACAAATCAACTTGTATGTAATTCAATGTTGAAATTAATTTAATTAAAAAAGTCTAAATTTGGGAAATAATATAATATATTGATAGTACAAAAATGACATCAAAAGATTTTTACTTCCTACTTGATGTATGGAAAAAATCTGATTGATCTGAAATTTTGAATCATCTGAAACTTTAGCAACATTTGACTTCCATGGTATGAAACTTCAAATATCAACGATAAAAAAATCTGTTTGTTTCATTGACAAATAATTTAACTATATCCGGTAAGTATATATAAAATTTTTACTATATTGTTAGTTATTTTAAAATCAAAATCAAAAACACAATTTATGTATTACTCAAGATTTTGTAATATAAGACTATATTTTAATAAAGGAATATATGAGTGGTAAAAATTTACACATATTTTATAAAGAATTTTACAAATATTGAAATGGATCGCAAAATTAGTTATTTTGAGCCAAATTTTGGATGAGTATTTACATTTATATTATTTTTACTATCTCAACTAATAATTATTTGAATGATATTTAAATAAAAATTTTTAGGAAACAAATTATTAAATAATTTTTCAACTTATTCTCCAAAAAAGTAAATTTTACGGTAGATGGTTATTTTCATTTGTCAAGTTACGTCACGTATCTTCTAACCAGACAGCAGTCCAAACATCGTACAAAAATCCAATAATCCAAAAAAAAAAAAAAATTGAAAGTAGAAAACTTTCCGAAATCTAAATCCTCTATGAAAGCGTAATTGAAAATGGGCTAAGATTCCTCTCTCCGTCTCTCGTCCACACATCTAATACCTCTTTACTTGATCCAAATTCCAAAAATTTTCCACATGTCGTATGTTTGGTTTCAATTTCCATCATCACAATTCTCTAATTAAACTAAAAGAGACGTTATATTTTTCTTTTGAACATTTTTTACATGAAATCATGTAAAAATCTCCTTTTTCAAGGATGTTAGCCTAACTTCCTTAAAAATTAAATCCAGACCATCATAAGAATAATGGTCCACTGTAGCTAAAATCCAAAAGTGTTAATAAGCCTACAATCTAAATCTTTCACGTGATAATTGCTGCGGTCATTTGTCATCAGATTCTGGCAGAAAATGGAAAATTTTTTGCCGAATTGTGTACCACAAATATCAGTCTTTGAGAAATGTAAACAAGATCTCCAGCGATCCGTCAGCCATGATTATCAATGACCGGGAGGTACTGTATGGAAAGCCGCCATGGTCAAAAGTGCGTAGCAAAACATAGCGTGTATACACTATGTTTTGTAGCGCATATACGTTATATTTCACGGCGGGTTACCCCTGTTCTGTCTGTTTCAGGGGTAACCTGTTGCAAAAAATAGCGTTTAATACGCTATATTTCATAGCGTTATATACGTTATATGTTATGACGGGTACCCGTTATAAGAAACGGCGGGTACCTGTTATATGGAATGGCGGGTACCCGCTATAAGAAACGGCGGGTACCC